CCCTATCACTGAAGGTTTTCAAAAGCAGTTTAAACAAACACTTGTCAAGGATGGTCTAAGTATACCTGGTCTTGCCTCAGTGCAAGAGGCTGGATTAGACGACCTTGAGATCCAGCCCCACATTTCTGTGATTTTAGTGCCCTGCCTCCTTCCGTCTGCTGCTGCTAGCTGTAAGGAATTCTAAAATAAGGAAATTCTCTAGTTCCTATGATATCCTAAAGAAGGACTTACCCTCTAGTTACCAAACTGCTGCTAGGTTGGAGGAAGCCAAAACACAGGAGATTCCTGCCTGAAAAAACAGAGGGCCACAAAATCCTGAGGAATCTTCATCTGCTTTGCACAGAGGCAAAAGATTAGGTTGTCAATGTGACTGCAGTATCTCAAACATGCCAGAAGTGGAGCCAAAAAACAGCTTGATTTAAAAACAAATACATCAGAAGAGGGATCTTCTGTTTACTTCCAAGAAGGGAATTTCCAACAGAAATAATATTTAACTCTTGTACAGAGCTTTTCATTCAGAGATATCAAGTGCATTACCAATGAGGTATGTATCATTATCTCCTTTCAGATGGGGAAACTGGTCCAACGATAGTAGTCAGAGAACAATGAATACGCACACAGGACAAAATGCATTTTATGTAAATCTGGGGAAGATAAATCAAATAAAACACACCAAAACTTAAGGTCCAATCCGGACAACACTTTGCTACTCTTGGTTTTGGCTTTGCACAAATGAATGCTGACCAATTAAGTTCTGGAAAAAAAAATTGAGCTTAGTACCTGAAAGCTCTTTTGCTATAATTTCCTCAATTAGCAGTACTTGAGGCATTTCATCAGGTTGTGGGTGTATCTGTATCTTAAAAAAAAAAATCATAGATTATCTGCTTGAGTAGTCTCACTGAAACCAAGCACTACACTTGATAGCAAGCGCTTGCAGGATCAGACCCTTATTTTCCTACCTCAGTGAACAATGTTTCAACTTTATAAACGTTTACATTTGTCCAATTATCTATAGTTAAGTAACTAGGCACAATCCATAATCCATTCTGCCTTTTTAAACAAACACATTTCATTATGATTTACAATAAAAATAAATGTATTTTAATTCTGACTCCTCTGGAGTAAACAGGCCTGGATTGGTTTGTCTCAGAGAAAACTGGAAGAATTATTTTTGTGGAGATCCCATCTGAAAGGCTTTTCAGAAAAAAAAAAAAGGGGGAGGGGGGAAATCGCTCCTCGGTCACCCTAATTCACCAATCTGAAGTAACTGCTGAATATGCCATAAACTCAAGAGGAAAGTGGTACCTATCATTAAATGTTTGCTCTGTTTGAGTAAATTATTTTCACTATTTTTTTCTCCTTTTATAGCTTCCTTTAGTTTAGTAGGCAACTTTCATTCCTTTTATGTCAGTCTACCTCAGTAACTAGCTTATTCAGCCAAGATCAATCTGATCAAGGAATAGGTTTTCAAGAGGGAATTTTTTAAAAATATTTTTTAAAATTAAAAGGCATATTATTTGTTATGAGCAAAGGAATTAAATGGATTCAAAGTTTAGATGCTTTGGTAAAATACCATTAGTTTACATATCAATAAAAACACTCAATATCATTATTTCCTTTCAATCCTTTCATTACTATCCTAGATAATATTATTATAGCACAATATTGCCAAACAAATTAGTAAACAAATTTCGGGGTGACATATATGAGTAGTTAAAACAAAGAGAAATAAAGAAAAATCTATTTTTGTAAACATCAGCAGTGCACAGTCAGACAACTGAAAATATTTTAATACAAACGGATAGACCATGAATGGCTTCTAGTTTGGATCCCAAATTCACAAAGACTGAAAGCTGATTTTTCAGTGTATCTCCCCACAAATGGTTTGCATGTTACAATGCTTTGAGTTTTCTTATTTCATGGTTAGAGAGGTAGTGAATTAACTGTTTGGACTATTGCGGTTCTTTGAACTCAAATTTCTTACTTTTCAAGTATACAGATATTTATTCAATAAATAGGAACAATTTAAACAAACAACTGAACAGAATTGCATCAACACACTGATATAACAACACAAAATAAATTGTGACAGTGAACACATCATGATGACACACACACACATCTACCTTTTACGGTTTATGCACCCACATAAAAAGTCTTAATTAGGGAGGATGAGGAACCAATTAGCCCCCAAAATGTACTGGTTAACTAAATCACTTAAGTAGCCAGGACATAAAAACCTACTAACCCAAGCACTACCTGCACAGCCAGGCCCCTCCAAAGTCCTCAATTTAGAGGTACAGCGTATAAAATATTTGTGTACTATTTACTGTGTAATATACTAGACTGTAATGTATTATTTTAAATTTAATGCATTTTTAAAATGAACTTACTACAGTATCTCTGTTGCTTTTGTTAAATCTTCTTTCCGGTCCTGGCCCAACTCCACTTTTTCTCTTTCCTACACTGATCATTATATAGCTTTGCCCCATGTTGTTTTCAGCGCTTTCTTCCTCCTATCTTTCTCACCTCCTGTAGCCCTTTACACCTATTTTCACCTAAAGTGTATGCTTTACTTCCTCCCCTATATTTTTTTGTTTCTCTTACTGTTCCCCTTTAATCTCTCACACCACCTTAGTTCTTGTAATTGAGAACTCTGAGTGCAGCAGTGAATCTGCAAAAATCAGGTCAGTTTTATTCTGTTTCTGCAGTTTTTAAAAACTATTAACAACTGCAGAATCAGGCACTGTATCTCTTCACTGGGAAGTGAACCCAAAAATAGAGACAAGTGGTGACCCCACACCCTCCAAACACACACCTAATCCATCCCATCCTACTCTCTATTTTTGGGTCCACCTCCCCCATGAAGGGCCATGGTGCCGATTCTACTATCACACATAGCTTTTACAAGTTCCAGAAGCAGAATGTAGGTTTCATTGTTGCCCAGAGTTCCCAATAGTGGGAGTGAAAACTGACAAGATTCCGGTTAGTTTTCACTCTGCTGTGTTTGACAAAGCTATAAATAGCAGCAGAGACACAAACTATCTGTCTGAACATTTAGGAACAACAGACTGCATCAGTTTGCACTAGGTTCACATTTGGAAAGTTATCTTTGCAATCATAGTGTATTAGAGGTTAAGGGTTTTTTTCCCCCAAAACATTAAAGTTTCAGTTCTACAGAAGCTGATGGCACTTGCCCAGGAAAGCTTCTTGCTCTGTACACGACAGGGAGTGGATTTTTCCAAGACTTGTAAATGGCTAATATTTTTCTAACATGGCTGCTTTTAGAGATGGTTGGAGGCCAGATTCTCTACTGCAGTCCCAGGTGGCTCAAAAGTGCTAGAATCTGGTCATAATTGACTCTCTGAAAATTACTTCAGAAAAGTAGAGACACTCTTAGCTAGCATAAAGCCAGTTGAGCTGGCTCCTGTGCCAACCATCTCCCAATCAGGCTATGCTCATTGGCATAGCTGTGCTCCACGAGGCTGCTCTAATTTATGCCAGAGCTGAAGAAGCTACAGTTTAAAAATTAGGGAAATATAACTGAGCATCTGGTGTCCCACTCCCACCCTTGTACCAAATGGTTCTTGACACTAGAGAAAATCTAGCCCTGCATCTTCATACGGCTGACATGTTCTTTTTTGAGCTTGCATGTGAAACACTTAGGACAGCATTTCTTCCTTTTCATTCTTGCTATATAATATTACCACCCTCACCACTCAGCTTTTAGATAGCACTTTTCATCCATAAAGGAGCTATGTATCATCCCCACTTTGTAGATGGGGAAACAGAAGGCACAGCAACTACGTGATTTAATCAAGATCACCACAGAGACCAGTCAAATGGCCAGGAACGGAACCCAAGTTTCCCAAGTCCCAGTCCAATGCCCCATCTAGTGAGCCACACTGAATGGTAAAGAATAAACATCTGTAACAACATTAATGCAAAAGAGTTACCAGAAATGCTTAAGAAGATTGTAACTCCACAGAATCTAAACTCAATACCTTGAAAGCAGCCACTAGGCCTTATTTAATGTCCATAGCTGACAGGTATTACTTTGTCTACACAGATGTCCCTGAATACAACATGATTACACAAGATACTGAGAATGATTAAAAAACTGAATAAGGGCTATAAAATACAAATTAAGGACCAAATGCTGCCCTCACTTAGAATCATGCAGTTTCTACTTATTTACCGGTAATTAGCTCAAGATCTTAAATATAAGGAAGTACGTACACATCTATGAAAGTTTTTAATATCATGAGATATGAAAATGTTGGCGGAACTGGCTAGTGCTAATACTCTGTAGTTGGACATACTTATTCCTGCATTTCCATTATAAGCTATTTTCAGGAACATATTATTTTAGCCTAAATAGTCACTCTAAGATAAAACATAGCATACAAAGGTTCACCTCACACGCAAACTTTTATTTTGTTTGTACTCAAATTTAGTTTAGGTTGTTTTGGCAAATAAGAATTACATTCAAAAATTAAAAATAAATTTTGAGCAATAGGCGCATTTTGCCTTACAACACAGTAAATCCAAAAATCTTCACCGCAAAATGGAACACTGTATAAACAATTTGCCCTCATTATTTGGGGGAAAGTAAAAATCCCAGAGAAGCGTCATTTAATTAACAAGTTACTGTAAATGCATAGTAACTATTTTTTTTCAAAAGTTCCATATAGATTATTTGTAGGTTTGACCTGTTAGAAGAACTATTATTATACAAATGAAACCTGAATGAGCTTTGACCCTAAAATGGTCTCAATAAATAATCTATAACTACAATATTGATATTAAACAATGTTGGAAAACAAAACACATGAACCCTAAATAAAACTGCTTTAAACATATACTGAAGTAAACAAAGTATTTGTGGGTCTGATATAAAGTACTCCAACATTGAGAATAAAGACTGAAACCCAACTTAAAAGTTCTTTTGTGGTTGTACTATTTAGTAAGTTAGAGAGAGATACTCAGTAAAAGTTTACCTTACTTCAGCTGGTGTATTTTGGGAATAGGGATTTGCAGAACAAGCCAAAATCCTAATTACAGCCCCAGGGTGATATGTTTCCAGAACATGCACTGCTGTGGGATAAACTGGCTCCTCAAAAGCAAGCTCTACGTAGTCCTGGCTATAGAAGTTAGGTGGAGTCCTCTTGAATGGCAACTGGGCACTAGGACACTGATCCCACCAAGTTCCATAAGTTCGAAACACAGCAGTCTGAGTGAAGTCCCCAGAACTGGGGTACACATTTGGAATACCTGCCAAATTCCACATTGTGTAGGACATGCTGTTTTCACTACCGTAATGAGAACTGAAATCCAACACTTCTTTGGCATACTGGACTACTTCAACATTGATAGGTAAGGCTCGGCTGTTTGATTCAATAGCTCTCCGGCTGTTCATCATTTCTCCCCTTGTAGCTGTCCTGGCTCGGCGCCGAAGGCAGATATAGTAAAACATGCTGAGAACTGTTAACATGGGAAACACCGGTGACATCTAGATATGAATTATGAAGCTGCAAAAGGTCAGGTGTCCTATATAAGGTGCATTAACTCTTTGGGGGATGTTTAAAAAAAATAGCTGAATAAAACAGAATGGTTAAACATGGTCAACAGAGAAAATTTTTCCAGAAGGAAACCAATTTGCTTTTACTCATTCTAATTTGTCATCTTAAGACAACGCTGTCATTAAAAACCTAAAATCAAGTAGTTTCCTTAGGGCTACTGAATTAAAAAAGGCAGTTATCTGGAAGTTAAATTGAGCCAAAAACTAAATTAACTATTTTCCGTGTTAGATCACCAGCCTGCAGCAGTAACAAAAATTTTGTTGTCAATGTATAACCTTCAGCACTACCCTTTCATGTTGTCCATGACAGCATGCATCCCTGATATAAAAGTCAGTGGACTCCAAAAGGATGTTCATTGGAGTCCATTAATAATGTCAGCTGGAGGTCTTCTATACAGCCATGACACAAGGTAGGTATTCAGGGTTCTGTGACGGTGTCAGAAGCAGAAGTCTATATGCACGCTGTTGTATATCTGAAAAAAGAAGACATTTTGGTTCATATATTTACTGTATTAGAGTCAAAATTTGCTAAACCTGGATGTTGCAGCCATGAAAACTATTTCTGCTAACTAGAACTGACAAAAAACAAGTATAATACCTACAGCAATAGTCTAATCTGTCAAACAAAACCACATTTCAGCAGTTATACTAGAGCGTACTTTATGTAAACTGTACGCTTATTCTGGATTACTTTCTGATAAATAACATATATCCTAAAAAAGTAAGCTTTAACAAGAGAGCATGAGATGAAGAGAAATGCTTCAATGATTTTTTTAAAAAAATTATTGCAGTGGGAAATTGTTTTGTTTATTTAACAAAAAATATTCCCCTGTAATCCAAACAATAAAACACTGAACTAGTACACAAGAACCATAAAGTTCAGGTGACTAAAATCTGACAATAACTAGAAAAGTGGAGTATGTTTTCACTGTCCAGACTGAGTGGCATGCAAAAAGTAAACAATTAGTATAATTGGTAGAAGAGTTAGGTTTTAAAAATTCTTCAGTTTACTAATCTAAGGTATACTAGCAACACAGGTAAAGAAATCTGTTTGAAAACATTTAATTTTTAATCTGTCACTTTAAGGAAATGGGCATGTCCATATTAGATTTCCTACAAGTAAAGATTATCTTACAAACCCCACTGCGTAGTTAGCAGGCACAAAACAACTATAAGGCAAAAACTGTTAGATTTACCAATATAACCACAGTCTTCTATTAGTAACAAACAAAATATTTCCTTACAGCTTATCAAGAAGCAAGATATACCAAAATTAATGTCCCCACCCTGATAAAAAATACAACTAACTTTGTTGCTCCACTGAAATCTTGTTTAACTGTTGCTCAATGGCAAAGAGAGAAGAGCAGTGTTGGAGTCCAGAGCAAGGACGACTAAGAATCTCCTAAAATAGATGAAGTGTTTCTGCAGCAGACATTTACTGGGCGTGTACTTTATTAATCATTGGGGCAGACAGTGGCTGCATTTCTACTTCAGGACAAACATTAAAAAATCATTAACCAAATGCCTCTGCTGTTCTAGCAGGCCAACTGCACATTTACCATTTGAAATAGGTCGCAGTTGGGACAATGCTGTACTTTATTTAGTCATAAAATCTTTGTTTTTCTGGAGTAACTCACTTCTCTCCCACCTCAAAAACAAACCACCAAAACAACCCAAAAAAACAACACCCATACATATATGGGTAGCATCCACTGAGCCCCCTTTTTGTTGGAATACGATTAGCAATTGACAGTGCAGGTTTTGTAAGATAAAAGGCAGACTGCAGCCTCTGCTCCTATATTTGGCAGTGAGAAAACATGTGTTGATGAATTGTTCACTCTTCACTCCAACGTGAAGCTGCAGAACTTTAATTAATTTGCAAACTGGATACCATCAGAATAGGCCTGAATAAAGACTGGGAGTGGTTGGGTCATTACAAAACCTAAACTTAATTGCCCCAATACTAATTTCTCCCTACTGTTATTCACACCTTCTTGTCAACTGTCTGTAATGGGCCACTCTCTTACCACTTCAAAAGTTATTTTTCCTCCCTTAGTATCCTGCTGTTAATTGATTTATCTCGTTAGACTGACCTCACATTTTGTAAAGCAACCCCCATCCTTTCATGTATTTATACCTGCTCCTGTATTTTTCACTTAATTCATCTGATGAAGTGGGTTCTAGCCCACGAAAGCTTATGCCCAAATAAATTTGTTAGTCTCTAAGGTGCGACAAGGACGCCTCATTGTGTTCACTCTTTTTCTTTCTTCTTCCTCCTACAATTTTTTTGTCTAGTTTCTGTCCTTAAAATCAGATTTTATACCAGCTTGGGGTATCGCAACTTGAACTAAATTTGGCACCTACCACAGCGGGGAACACATAAGAAGTTGTCTTGGCTCAGCTCTGAGCTCTGCAGGGAAGCCAAAGCCAAAGCCAAACAAAAAGGTTTTGGAAGAGACATGGAAAGGAAACAACACGTTGCTGTTCTCTCTTTTTCAATTGGGATGGCTTAAAAGTTTAATTGAAGACTAGGACTACATAAAAATACACTTTTCTTTTGGATTCTTTTCTGCTGTCTCCTGATCTAACACGTCTTATAGCTAGTTTAATTTTCTGGTTCTCATGCTCTAGCACAATGCAGCAACATTCACATTACAAACTGTCCACATGCCTTCTACATCAGTTGGTTTTCTGTGCGTTTACAACCCCCCTCAGTCAGTCATATGGCATTGTTTGGAGAGGGTAGCTGCAGTCACACCACATCCCCCATGCCCAAGACCTTGGACAAAAGTCAGTATCCCCAACTGTCTTTGCCTCTTAGGGTATGGCTATACATGCAGCTGTACAGCGCTGTGAGTTAAACCCGCCTTCATACAGCTGAGTAGGGAAAGCGCTGTAGTCTGTTCACACTGACAGCTGCCAGCGCACTAGCATGGCCACATTTGCTGCGTTTGCAGCTGCATTGGGAGCAGTGCATTATGGGCAGCTATCCCAGCATTCATGTGGCTGCAACATGCTTTTCAAAAGGGGAGGAGGATTGGTGGAGTGTGACAGGGAGTGTGGGGGGAGAGAGTGTGCTTTTTGGGGTGCTGAGTGTCAGCACCCTGCCTTGCAAGTTCCGACCCCCCTGCTTCTCATTCACTCACTCAAAGCAAACAGCAAAATGTTTGCTTTTTCTCTCTGGTAGGGAGCTTTGAAACGGCACTTCCGCATTCCTGGAGCTAATCACAACAATGAGAAGAGTGGCCACTTGATAAGGGGATTATCACAGCGCAGCAAGTTAACGCCTCGTTCACACTGACACCCGGGAGTTGTAGCCACTGCACTGCATCTCTTATTCCTCTCGGGGAGGTGGAGTACCTGCAGCGCTGTGGCCAGAGAGATACAGTGCTGTACATGCCTTGCCAGTGTGGACGGGGAGTGAGGTACAGCACTCTGGGCAGCTTTATTGCGCTGTAACTCGCAAGTGCAGCCAAGGCCTTAGAGTGCAGTTTCTCTTGTGCGCCAGTCAGTAAACCTCCGATGAAAGATAATGTCTTCAGTTTGGATTCAATTAAATATTTTTATATATTTTCTTTTTTAGACAAGTACAAAAATAAATGAGGATACCAGAATTACAAAAAAAATCTTTGCTTCACCCAACAAATTTTGGTTGATAAGCACCAAAGTACTTTACTATTTATGTAATTTACAAAACCCCAAGCAAATTAACAGTTAACTAAGTTTTTACAATGCCAATAGTAAACAAACATCCTTATCACTTATATAAAAATTAGTATTTCATCACATCAACTTTTCAATGGACTGTTGGGTTTTTATATGCATTTGTTATCTCAATTTCTGTACCTAGATTTTTTTTAAAGAATTTTTAAATGTACTTATTGGTAATAACTCCCATTTATCAAACAGAATGTTTTGTTAAGTATTTATAATTACTACTTCATGATAATGTTGTATACACAATTTTCCTACTAAATTACATTACACTATCAAATTATAATATATGTATGTGGACTTGCATTTGAGGCTGATCAATGGGTCACTCATATGCATATATATATATATAAAGTTTTATTTCTTTTTCAAAACAGTTTTGTAATCATGGCTGTGTAACTGATTTCATAGATTCCAAGACCAGAAAGGACCATTACGATAACCTAGATCAGTAACTAATGGCGACCCAGTTGAAGAAAACTGTTGATGCCTGCGACCCAGTGGAGCTGGGGATGAGGGGTTTGGGATGTGGGAGGAGCCCAGGGCTGGGGCAGAGGGTTGGGGTGCAGGGGTGAGGGCTGCGGGGACAGGAATGAGGGGTTCAGGGTCTGGGAGGGGGCTCTGGGCTGGGGCAAGGGGGTGGGGTGCGGGAGGGGGATCAGGGCTCTGGGATGGGGCCAGGGATGAGGGGTTTGGGGTGCAGGAGGGGGCTCTGGGTTTGGGGGGGCTCAGGGCTGGAGCAGGGGGTTGGGGCACAGGCTTACCTCCAGCACCTCCCAGTCAGCGGCACAGTCGGGGTGCAGAGGCAGGCTTCCTGCCTGACCTGGTACTGCAGACCGTGCTGCACCCCGGAAGTGGCCAGCAGCAGGTCGGGCTCCTAGGCGGAGACGCACAAGCACGGCCCCCCCAACTCTCATTGGCCGGGAACCAGCCAATGGACGTGCGGAGCTGGTGCTCGGGAGGAGGCAGCACGCAGAGCCCCGCGGCCCTCCCAGGATCCGGAACTGCTGCTGGCTGCTTCTGGGGCACAGCACAGTGTCGGAACAGATAGGGACTAGCCTGCCTTAGCCAGGCAGCACTGCTGACAGGACTTTTAATGGCCCGGTTGGCGGTGCTGACCAGAGCTGCCACAACCCAGTGCCTTACCGCGACCCGCAGTTTAAAAACCACTGATCTAGATCTTCTCTATAATGGGCCACAAAACTTCCCCAAAATAACCCTAGAGCATATCTCTTAGAAAAACATCCACAAAAAAAATTGACTGCTCCTCTTTCCGTCCTGCTCTCTGTGCAGTAGGACACCCAAGAGTGAATTTACCAGACGCTGGTGGATCCATGCTCATCAATGTGTGCGCTATCTGGTCACTCGGAGGTATGGAATAACTGTCGAGATTTTCCCAGAATTAACTGATATAAACCAAATTAGGTAGCATGGTGGGTATAGCCTGCAAACGGTTCAGCCACAGAAAGACTGCAGAGTGACATACCGTATATACTCGTTCATTAACCCATTCGTTTATAAGCCGACCCCCCAGGATGGATAGGTAAAAATGGCAAAAACTGTATGATGCTTTCATAAGCTGACCCTATATTTCAGAATTTGGCAAACTTTGGCTCCCGGTCCGTCAGGATAAACTGCTGGCAAGTCGGGATGTTTTGTTTACCTGGAGCATCCACAGGCATGGAGCCCCTCAGCTCCCAGTGGCCACGGTTTGTGCTCCCAGCCAATGGGAGCTGTGGGAAGCGACGTGGGCTGAGGG